TTCTAGCGGGGGCAATGAACATGCCATTTTCTACCAAACTACTTTCCTACCTGGTCTATATCTACCCTTAGGCAATTTTCTTAAGTGTTTCGTCATGTGTGGTGACCCAGCACCAGTTTCAGTTATTCTTTGAGATTGATCACGTGTGTAATGCTGTCACGAAAACCCTTTGAAATTTGTGTTTTTCAGAAATAGCCAGACAAGCAGCACAAATAAAGCTTTTAAGAAAACTTCAAAAGCAAGAACAGGCACGGGTTGCCAAAGAAGCTAAAAAACAGCAAGGTAGATAGATGTCTTGTATGCGTTGAAAGGTGGGAGCTGGGCCTTCACAGGGCTGCCCTTCCTCGTGGTTCTGTGCTGACAGGCGTGCTTTGGGTTCCCTTCACAGCAATCATGGCTGCGGAAGAGAAGCGGAAGCAGAAAGAACAGATGAAGATTATGAAGCAGCAGGTATGTTCATGTGCTGGGACGGACTTCCGATGTGAGTCTGCCTGGTGTACACGGGCATGGTACCCACCTGCATTTCCTGCATAGCTGCTGTCATGTGTGAATGTCTCTCTCTGTTTAGAAAGGTGCCATCTTAAAATTGTTCTCCTTTAAAATTTTTTTAATATTTCAAGAGATATTTATTTTTATTTTATATGAATGAGTGTTTGTCTACATGTATGTATTTTTACCACATCTATGCCTGGTATCCATGGAAACCAGAAGAGGGCATTGGATCCTCTGGAATGGTGTTAAAGTAGTTAAGAACACCATGTGGGTATTGGGAACTAAACTGAAGTCCTCTGCAAAAGCAATCAGTATTTTTTTTAATATTTATTTATTATACATACAGTGTTCTGCCTGCATGTGTCCATGCAGGCCAGAAGATGGCACCAGATCTCAGTATAGATGGTTGTGAGCCACCATGTGGATGCTGGGAATTGAACTTAGGACTTCTGGAAGAGTACTCAGTTGCTCTTAAATGATGAGCCATCTCTCCATCCCCTGTAATCAGTATTTTTAACTGCTGAGTAACTGTTCCCGACCTAGATTTGTTTTTTTTAATGTGTGTTCTGAACTTAGGTCCTCATATTTGTGAGGTAAACCCTACTAAGTGTGTGTGTGTGTGTGTGTGTGTGTGTGTGTGTGTGTGTGTGTGTGTGTGTGAGATCTCCATCCTCCTGAGTCCAATGAGTGTTGTTCATATGTACATGGGTGTGGGGCTGACCTCTGGGCTACAGGCAACATTATCAAGGGGACTCACTCGTGAGGAAAAACGGATTTTCCCTCCTTCCAAAGCCATTGGCTGTCTGTAGCTGTCAAGTAAGGGCTTGTGAGCTCTTCCCCTACCCATGGTGGGATATCAACTGATATGGTCTTGTAGGCAAACGTTGTTGAGTTCACGTTTCCAACAGTCCTGTCATCTCCAAAGACACTATTTTACAGGAGGCCCCTAGCCCTCTGGCTCTTACAGCTCTCCCCTCTTCCGTGATGTCTCTGAAGCTTGAGTGGAGTTGTTGTGTGACAGGTGGCGATGGGCCCTCTACAGTCCGTTTTTTCTGCAGTGTGACCAGTTGTGGTTCCATTACAGCCTCCATTTATGCAAACAGAAACTTGTTCATGAGGGTGCGAGCTGCACTTCTTTGTTTATTTAAGGATGAGTATTTAGAAGACAGTTGCATACTATATCCATTTAGCAAAATGATGAAGAACAGCCAGCCTGGTGCCCTGTGGTGCAGCAGTGGCACTAATATCTCGGGAGTAACTAACAGCTGGCTGATTGGACTTAAGACCCATTCACTAAGGGGCAGTTCAGGTCTAGTACTATAAACCTAGCAGGAACCTGTTGATGGAAAGATCATAGGTCCTAAAGGAAAATCTATAAGAACTTCCCCCATTTTTGAATCAAGTTCTTTTTCTTAAAGTTCTTTAAGAAGTGAGATTTTATATAAGGCATTACGTATGTAATATTTGTAAGTATCTTAATGTTCTCGTAGACATTGAATTCAAGTTGATACCCTGAGACTGTTTTCAAACTTAAGTTAATGTGCCAGTGGGTAGAGGATATTCCTTGAACATCCCAGTTGGACACTGGGGAGTTGAAAACATGAACAGTATAAGCCTGACCTGAGTTTAGTCCTTGGAAACCACATAGTAGAAGGAAAGACCACCTTCACAAATGGTCACCTAACTGCCACAGGTGCAGTATGGCACATGTGCACCCCACACCTACAGTAATGCACACACAATAAATTTAATTAATTAAAAGTAAGTAAATAATACATGTGCCCTATTAGTAAAAAACTAAATGTAGGTGTTCTGGAAAACAGTTTGCCCTTATTGCTTCTGAATATTTTCAAAGAGTATTATTCACCATATCCAGAGTTCTCTCTTGTATCTGTATTGCCTTTCTCCTTTCTACTTTGCAAAATAATTTTGGTAAAATGAAGTCATTTTTAAAAACAGTGAAAATATTAATTGACACAGTGTGTGAGCTGTTCCCTATCTCCACGTGCTCATCCAGCACTTAAACAAAGGAAGTGGGGAGAAAGTGTATTGTTTTAAATGAAGTCAGTTGTGTTACTGTACAAATAGCTGCTAACTGAATTGCTTGGCTTGACATCCGTCTCATTATCTCTGACATTTCTTACAGAGTTAACTAAAGAAATGTGACCACAGTGAGTTCCCATAGAGGTGGAATTGAGAAGTTAGAGTTTCCAATCAGGCAGCCTACAGTTAAATGTGGGCTGTACTGTTTAACGAGTCTGTGACCCTTAAAGGAATAATGTCTTATGTCTCCATTTCCTTTATTGGAAAGGAATTAAGTGTGGTGGCTGATGAGTTAGTGAGAGGATGAATACACAATGCCTTCCACAGTCTTGACAACAAATAATACTGTTTTTGAAAGATGTATGTAAAATATTCCTTTTACCTTAATTTAAAATCGCAATATGTAAACTTAAATTCCTCTATTTGTTTATTGTTACTACCAGACATTGTGAGGTTGACTTAAAATAAGTACACCTAGTAATGCATTTGTTAAAGTATTATAAATCTTTATTGAATTGTATGTGTTCTCATATTTTGTTTTAAACAAAAATACTGCCATTTTGTTAAACCTTTTGTAGTTTCTTTGATTTTATGTTGACCAAAGACTTATCGAATTATCTTAAAACTTTAAATTCAGCTTTGTGATCTTAAAGTCAAGTGCCTGCAACCTAAATTTTTCACATTCTTTACTGCTAATTGAACCAGCATTAGGCTTCAACGCTTTCAACACCATTAATTCGGGTGAATTACCCTTATATATTTGTCCAGACATTTGTGAAACAAAACTACTTAGACTTTTTGTTAAATAATGACCATTTTATTTTGTCTTGTTTTATTTTTGAGCCTAAGGTGACTCTGTGTTGCTTACGCCGACTTCTAACTTGTGATTGTCCTGCATCAGTTAACAGAGTTGTCAGTATTATAGATATGTGCCATCTGGCCCTGAAATGATTAAAGTCAGCATTGATCTAGAAGAAAATAGAATCATGTTTTTCTCACTCTTTGGATTTCTTTTTCATCTTTGATTTTTGTTTGTTTGTTTTCATGACAGGGTCTTTTGTGTAGCCTAGAATTCTGTAGACTAGGCTGGCCTTGAACTCACAGAGATACATCTGCCTCTGTTTCCAAAGGGCTGGGATTAAAGGTGTGTGCAACTCCTGCCCAGCTCTTAGAATATTTTTAACACAAAAATTGACAAAATTATCATCAGAGTACTTTTTGACATGTAATATTTATTGAATTTTTTCCTTGGCAATTTCATACATGTATTCTAACTAAAGTAACCCCATACAACTCTTTCTAATTTCCCTCCCACCCCATTACCCCAGCTCTGGTCCCTAGAAGTCATTTTCCCACATTCGTGTCTTTTGTTTTTATTTGTGTTTTTGTTTTGAATCCCCTGAGTTTAACCAGGATCACCTGTGTGACTGTCGGTTTGAAAAGATCTGTTGGGACCTGGTAGACTCCTTAGTGGTCACACAGCTGACAACAGTGACTGCCTCTTTCCCAGAATCCACCAGCTGGCAGCGGTGCAGTAGTGAGGGTGGCCCGCGAGCCCTCCCCTGGTTCACAGTGGGTTGCTGAGCAATGCTGTCTTGTGTAGGCACCATGCAGGGAGCCACCGCTCCTGTCATTACTTCACTGACTGTGCTGTGTCCACAAGACCACATTTGACAACCCCCCAACTCCACTCCATCCCTGCCAGAGCCGGGGATCGAACCCAGGACTTTGAAGATGCTACATAAGCACTTGACCACTGTGGGAGCTATGTGTCCCCATATACAACAAGAATCCTTAAAGCAGTTCTGTAAGTTTGTGGAAGCACCACAAAGAAGTAGGGTGAGCACAGACACTGTAATCTGAGTCGAATATGACTCTATGGACTAAGTGTTAGCATTACAGCAAAATATTTGCTGTGTAAGAACTCAGTGTCCTACTTAGAAAAAGACTATAATTCCAACCACTAAGACTCTTATGATAAACAAGATACTGTATATGAAGTAACCATCTCAATAAATGAGCACATAATATTATAGAAAATTTATAACTTCTAAATGATGTTAGTCTTCATCCTGGTGATACTGTCTCTAAATATCTGTAATATCTATATCTATATCTATATCTATATCTATATCTATATCTATAAAACATATGTTTCACAGTTAGGGTAAAGCTCTAAACTGCATGTATGTAAGCCCAGATGACTTTAAGAGCCTCTGTCTGCACAGGAGGGAATGTGCAATGCTTTTGCTGATTTAAGGGCACAGCCCTTTAAAAGTCTTCGGATTGCCAAAATCAGAAAAATTTCACCAAGAATATTTCTTCAGGTCTCAATAATTTAAAAAATGGGTTCTGCAATCTGTTACTTAGAAATAAAATGAAAATCCATGTGTAGCGGCTTTGTATTTTTGGTAAGCTGCAGCTAATATTCAGTGCCAAGAAAGGATCACCAGCAGCAAAGTCCTAGAGTGTGATGAGTCTTCTGAATTAAATTGTTGATCCTTCCAATCTCATGATTGTATTATACACCTCTGTAGAGACTCAATAATACAGATGACGGAGAATTGGCAGTAGAGCAGTCAAACACCACATCTGGAGACTGAAGGAGAAACAGCAATGTTTGATAGAGATCAAATGTGTTGATATAGAAATTCTAGAACAAATCTAATTATAGGTAAGAAATGTCAGGGTTTGTTCTTGTTAGGTATATATTCCTATCCAGGCCACTTGAAACTTCCTCAAAGAACATTTTTAAATTGAAACTTCTAACTGTGATTATAGCATAGAAGGATAATTTTGAAAATCAAATATAAATTCTTATTATAACTTAGATGATTGCTCAATTATAAAATAGCATTTTACATGCCAGCTATCTGATGTAAGTAATTTCCCAGATTATAAATTCAAATTAATGCAGTATAAAATCTTATGGGTTTATTCTTATGCTTGAAAGCATTGTTCATATCATGTCAACATGTGAAATAAACTTTAGAATCAGAGGTTATTTTTAATAATGACCTTATAGCTGTGTAATGACTATATAGTTATGGTTTTAAAGCGTTTTTTCAAATTTATGACAATCCATGCATATAAATTTTTTATAGAAATATTGTTCTTTGTTCATGTTCATTCAGCAAGTTGTAGCTGTATATCAGTCGCTTTATGTATTTCAGTTTCTGTTTTATTTGTACTTGCAGTTACGTGTAAATACTTTCTGGATATATAAGTTTAATCAGCTTTGTTATCTCTTCTATATGTTCGTTTAACATTTATTGTTTACAATTCTGAGAAAATTTCTACACTCATATGATTGTGAGTCACCTTATACCAGGTAACTGAATTTCGGATCCAGCATGGATGGCGTTTGATAGTTTGGTATTTGTGTCTTAAAATTATCTGACTCCAATTAAAACTTTTTAACCTAAATATTTATTATCTCAAATTTTCCTAATGTTTCCTACAGGAAAAAATTAAGAGAATACAGCAAATCAGAATGGAAAAAGAACTCCGAGCTCAGCAAATTCTTGAGGTAGAATTCTTAATGTAACACAATTAAGATAAATATTCCAAGTCCAAGGCTGTTTAAGATGCTCAGTTGTTACCTCATTTGTTCAAATGAGTATGTCCACTAGAAAGTCTGTTCAGAACTGTGTAGCCTGAGACATTCTTTGAACCTTTTTAGCAAGTTCATCCATGCTAGCACTAAATATCAGAAAGTAAAATAAAAAACAAAATGAAGAAGAAAAGGGCAGACTTGGACAGCCAGTGTAGTTGTCATGGAGTTCATGGTGTCTACCTTCAGGAAAGCCCTGAGGGTGTATAGACTTTCTTTTCATTTAGAAACCCGTGTTTAGTAAAGGGAACTCGTTAAGTGCAGAAAATGATGTCACTAACAGGGTTTCTAGTGTTCCTCCCTTTCCTGCAAGCGGACTAAAATTAGGGATGTAGAAATGTTAGCATCAAAATTAGTAGCTAGAAATCAGCAGGAGTAAAAACTGAAAAAGTGGGGCTAGCACATACAGGACTCAAGTCACCTGAAGAGTAGTTGGTAACATCCGGTGGTCCAAAGAGTCACTCTGTCACATAGTGAGATAATATGATGCTAGAAACAATTGCCCCATCATCAAGACAAAGGCAAATTATGTTTCATGTCCCATATCAAAAATGGCATATGCCTTGAAATTATTTTCAGCAAATATAGTGAAAAACAAACTTTTTTTTTTTTTTTTTTTTTTTTTTTAGAGAGGGTTTTTCTGTATCTCCCTAGAAGTCCTACAGGCCTCAAACTCACAGAGATCTGCCGGCTTCTACTTCCCAAGTTGCTGGGATTAAGGGCGTGCACCACCACCACCCAGGGAAAATAAACTTGTAATGGCTGCAATTCCTTTACCCTCGGCTGTTCATGAACTGCTGCTTTTTGGAACACTGTATGGCCTGAGGTCTGCAGAGACTTAGGCCTTTTTGTGTTAATAGTTGCTTTCTCCTAGGAGTATACACATATTCATTCCCTCACCCAGTTTCAGTTGATTTTACCACTCCAAATTCAACACACAGTAACTAGCAGATAGAAACTCACAGCCGGTGAGTGGCTTCAGGTGGGCAGCACGGTGCTGATTGTCAGAGTGCAGGCGCTGTCCTGTTAAAAACTAAACGCTGAATCAAGACCCGCTCGCTCTGCAGAGGCAGTGAAAGTCACATTTACCAAATTTCATTTAATTATCTAAAATATTAAGGAGTAAAGGAAAGTCCAAAGTGTAAATATGCTGTAAGTGTTACTGATGTATTTTTGAAGTTCTTTTTATCCATCCATGTTAATTCTTTCTAAAATTTTTTCAGAAAGTAAATTTTCTTTTAAAATACTCCAGATGCAATACATGACAGTCATTTTTCTTAAGTGTCAAGATAAAATCATGTTATTTCAGTCAGATGTTTATAGAAGAAAACCATGTCGAGTTGTGATTTTTAAGGGTGCTTAGGTAGATGTTTTAGTACTGGTCTGCAGATTGGAAACACTGTGATGTGAAGCGGGGATTTTTGTGATTGTCTGCTTATGTATTACATGCTCATTGTGTACCTTGTGAGGCATGGAGCTGTGAGTCTGGGGTTATCTGCGAGTCTCAGCGCTGCTGTTGCATGACTTGAGACCTGTTTTGCATGCACAGGCTAAAAAGAAAAAGAAGGAAGAAGCAGCAAATGCCAAATTATTGGAGGCCGAGAAACGAACAAAGGTTAGTTTAGCCGAGAGTCAAGAGTTTTTATTTTCAAAAATAAAAACTTCATTTGCTTAACACCAATCATGAAAAAATAGTTTTTCTCAAAACTACTATTGAAAAATATGTGTAAATGTGTGCTTTTATTTGTGTGTATATTTTTGTACTTTTTTTTATTTCTTAATGTAGGTTTTATGTGCTGTTTTGATATGTGCAAATCGAAGACATCAAATCAGAAATGCAAACTATTGCATGGCATCTGAATTTTAAGTTTTGCTTGATAAGAATGATTCCCCACACTAGTTTATGTGTCATTTATGTTAATGCTGCAAACCGTGCCCCAAACCTGACTGTCCCTTCATAACTCTCTCTTTGTTAGTGTCCAGTAAGTGTTTTCTTTATTCAAAACAAAATTCATAATCTAGGCATTGTGATGCATACCTGCCATGTTTGCAGTCAGGAGGTGGACTTAGGCTGCTTGGAAGTCAAGTTCAGTGCCATAGCAAGACCCTGTCTATAAACAAACAAGTAACAGAAACAATACTGTTAACTGTCGTTACATAATAAAATCAGCCCATTTTATTACTGTAGCAAATTGTGGAGGCGTTTTGGTTACAGTTCCCTGGCATGAAGCATAAGAGAGAGGTTCTGTTCATTCTGTTCCTTCCCCGCTTAACTCTCACCGTCTACTGAAGTCTGAATGGCAGCAGCCGAATGAACCCGCTGGTGCTCTAGTTGGCAGCACGGCTCACCGCGTAGAGCCGTGACAATGCTTCGTTGTGTGCTGGCTTGTTTTTGTTCGGGGCACCATAGGATGCGCTTGGGATGAATTGCGCAGCTAAGCAAAGCTCGGCTTCTAAGCTCTGCTAACCCTAGCTTGCAGTCTTTTCAACATACACTCCCTTGCTTTGTTCTCTAGAATAAAGAATAGTCTTAATTTACATATATATGTATATATATGTTAATATATTTTATATTATATATATATATATATAGTCTCCCTTACATTTACCCTTGATATTAATTTTACTTAGATTCTACCTTGCTAAACAATAGTCAATAGGTAACAAACTTAGATAATTGTTTTGCTTTGTGGCCCATCCCCTTGGGATGGTACTGTGAACTGCTGGTGGACACACGCACAGATGCACCCAGGCATACACAGAGTATATTTGGGACCTTATGTTTAGAGTGAGGAAGGGCTTTACTAAGCTAGTTTTAAGACTGGAATCATAAATTATTGAGTAATTGTTAAAATACTTGTATGGTTTTTAATATGCTATGTTTGACGATCTATTCAGTCAATTTAGTGAATTTCCAATGAAGTATGTTTTCTAACTGTCCATTGAATTTGAAGTTGGAATGACTACTAGGAAAACATCCTTGCTACTGATTAGGCCATAAGTAGATTAGGCCATTAGGCTGTTAAGTAGAGTCATATCAAGTTAAGAAAGATTAAATAGTGAACATTTTCTGTGGTTAAAGCTATTAGAAGGCTAAAAGTTTATCAGCAACGAAATCTTTATTATTTAATGTTCTCGAAATCTCTCCTAAAACCGTATATCAAAAGTCTCTTATTTTTAAGGAGAAAGAACTGAGAAGACAGCAGGCTGTCCTTCTGAAGCACCAGGTCTGTATGCAGAGCCACACCGTCGGAAGTACCTTACCATTCTATTTAACTTTTGGGGTGGGGGGTGGGAAGCTTCAGAATACTTTCTTTAAAATTTCTTTATAATTCCCGCTTAGGTTTTCCCTTTGTCTTACAGTTTATTGCCTTGCTTTGGTATTGGTGTCTTTGGGGGGTTAAAATTGGTTTTATGACTCTGTGATTTCTGTTTCATAATGTTGTGCCAACTCTTTCTACCAGGAGTTGGAGAGGCATAGACTAGATATGGTATGGGTATGTTTATTTTTGTACATCTAACACCGCATTGTGATTTGGTTGTGATATGGTTGTCATAGCAATGCATAAAGTGTAGCACTGGCTGCTGTCATATTACATACTGCTGCATGGCTTCACAGCGCAGTGCATTGCATACATCTGCTTGTCTGTCTATGGAGAAGTGTGACACGTCTCTAAGAGTCCATTGACTTGCATAAAACTCCTCTCTCAAAACATGCGTTACTGATGTCACAGGGAAAGCTGACTCATTAGACATCCCATATTCTCCCATCCTTGTAGATGCAAAACTGCCATTAAGTACAATGGGAATTTTGAATTTGCTTGATGAGAGAATATGAAATATACTCTGGTTTTATAGTCAAATTTTGGAAATAATCCTTTTGGGGACCAAATATATTAAAACCAAAATGTTGATTAAATATTAATATGCAACTTGTACACTAAAATTAGTTACCAAACTAAGGTAGTGCTTACCTTCTTTCTATATTGGGCATTTTAGATTACTCCTATTTGCCCATGGTACAATTTTTATGCCTTTAAATCGTGTGCCAAGCATCAGACATCAGTAAATAGGAATATCACATTTCATTGGTACATGTGTATGAACCATGACTAGTTTAACTTTTAATTGGTATAAACACTTTTAAAAAAATCTTCCTAATTTATTGGTGGACTATTGGATTTAAAAATGATTTTGTACTTGAAATTAACTTAATCAATTCTAAAACTACAATGTGAAAGTGATTATGAATTAATTTCTGCCTGATCTGAAATTTTAAGAACAATAGAACTTGTAAAATTGGCTATAGCATTTTATGGTTTTCTAATAGCAGATGTAAGGTAACTGACCTGTTCCAGCCAACCATTATGCTCTTTGTTCTGGCAGCTTTTGAAGGAGCATCACAGCTGACCATAAGTACCTTGTGTGCTCTGTTTACACTGTCTCCATGCTCATTGCTTCACCGTTTTGCTGTTGATTGCTCTCGTATTGCTTTCTAAACCTGAACTAAAACATGCACAGAATGGCCATTCTTGTCTGATATTTAGTATCTACTGTGACTTGTCTATAAATGCTAAACATGCTATATTGAGTTGTTGTTTTTGTTGTTGTTTCTGTTGTTATTGTTGTTGTTGTTGTTGTTTTCCATTTGAACACCAAACAGTTAACTGTGGTTGAGTTGTTCTCCACATTTTATCTGGCCTCACAGGAGCGGGAGCGAAGGCGACAGCACATGATGCTTATGAAAGCTATGGAAGCTCGTAAGAAAGCGGAAGTAAGTGTGTGTTTCTAAAAGAACGTTACCTTAGAAATTAGCTGTGCTTTCCTGAAACAGAGTACAGGCTTGTAGTGATTTTTAGTGTGTTGGATGGCACTGATTAGCTAACTGTAGCACTTTATTACTGTAACCAAGTGTATGTCACAAAACTAATGTTATAGCCTGCATAGAGGTCCCCAGCACCTTCATTCAAATACTAATCACACCGACCACAAACTTCTGCCATCAGAACTCTTCTTAAGCATGTTCTGTGTATGAAATTAGACATGCCATGTGTGCTCGAGATTGAACCCAGGTCCTGGAAGAGCAGCCCGTGCTCTCACCTGATGAACCATCTCTTCGCCTTAACCAATTTTGTAATGCTTTTTCTGCTTCTATTTCTTTCTTTTCTTTTTTTTTCCCCTTATTTTTTTTTTATGGAATATATTTTGATCCCATTTTTTTCCTCCCCAAACTCCTCCCTCTTCCTCATTACCCACCTAACCAACTTAATGCTTACTCACCCAGTCACCTGTTCATTCATTCTCTCTCTCTCTCTCTCTCTCTCTCTCTCTCTCTCTCTCTCT